TAAAAAAAAGAAAAAAAAATAGTATGATGTCGGGCGCCTGGGTGGCTCAGCTGGTTAAGCGACTGCCTTCGGCTCAGGTCATGATCCTGGAGTCCCAGGATCGAGTCCCACATTGGGCTCCCTGCTCAGCAGGAGGTCTGCTTCTCCCTCTGACCCTCTTTCCTCTCGTGCTGTCTCTCATTCTCTCTCTCTCAAATAAATAAATAAAATCTTTAAAAAAAAAAAGAAAAAGAAAAAGAAAAAAGAAACCTGAACAGGAGATGCCTCTTGGAGACAGGAACCAGCCGGGAAGAACAGAAAGAAACTTCCCGGGTGATAGATGGGAAATGTCCTATTCTCTGGTAAGGGATGGGTTACATGGGCAAAGGTATCTGTCAAAACTCACTGAGTTATACACATAAAATCCATGCATTTCTCCATATGTAAACCATACCTCAATTTTCTAAGTATTAAATTTATAGTTATTTCACACCCTACACAAAACAAATCCCACCCAGATTCAAGAGCTAAACTGAAAAATAAAATACCGGAAAAACTGCTGGAGACTGTTTTTATAATCTGGAAGCAGAGAAGGTTTTTCTAAATACAGTGCACAATCAGCAGTCACAGTCAGATTTTACCGCATAAAAAGCTTAAATTCAGTGGGGTTCAAAGCTACAATACATAAAGAGTTCATACAAATTAGTAAGGGAAACATGAACACTACAATGAAAACTTGCAAAAATTCACATTAGAGGAAAGGCCAATCCGCAATACACAGAGACAGGTTGATCCACCACCGAAGAAGGGTAAAATGTAAGACACTGAGGTATCGTTTTGCTCTGGTTGACTGGAAAGGGTGGAAGCATGACAACGGGGTGTGTGAGGTACCCTCCAATGTACCCTGTCGGAGACAAAGGCTGGCATACATTTTATGGGTGGGTTTTTGGGGATTGCTTCCAGAACGTATGCTGTGGAATGCCCTCTGACCCCTTCTCTAAGAGAAGAACCACACAAGGAGGGCGCACGGAGCTCTTCCTCCCAGCACCGTCAGTCAACATCCACATGCACATCAGCAGGGACTTAACTGCAGCCACTCAAGAGGTCACAGACAGGACAAACGTCCACACAGACGAAGGGAGGCCACGAAGGGGCACCGCTGGTGGGTTTCCTGGTTTCTCTCCAGTTCTCGCGTGTTCTGTTTGGCAGTGAGAGGTGCAGCCGGGGTGACTCTGCTCACATTCTAGCTCAGCTGCCCCCTGGGAGGCCTCAGTCAGAGGGCCTCTCGTCACCCCACCCCACCTCCGAGCCAGAGGCCCACACGGCTACCTGCAGTTTGTGCCCCGCGAGAGCAGAGACCCCTCCCCCCCGCCCCATCCCCGGGCCCTATCCACAGGGCGGGTTTAGGGACATCAACACCATGGAGCTCTCCAAGAGCAGGTGGCACTGCAGCCCCGGACACGAACGTCAGGCTGCTCAAAGCCAAACCCTGTGGGGGCTTGTTTTAGATGCCCACAACTTGCTGTCCAGTGGGGGGGGCGGGGCCCACTTACCCCACAGGCCAAGTTTCCCACTAGACTGGGTCCTGATTCAACAGATGGCTGTTTGCACACCTAGCACCTGACCCAGGGCACAGGATTAGTTGCCTGCAAGGTAACGAGCTCAGAACCCAAGCGGGGGGCTGCTGGGGGCAGGGCCACACAGGGCTGGTGGGGTCCGCAAGGCCTGAAATCCAAGCTCCAGGTAGACCGCCTGCCACCACCTTACCCACTGCCTCTGGGACAAGGCACCCTATGGGCCCGCTCCCCTAGCACAGCCCCCACTCTAAGGCACTACCCAGAGGAGAAAGACCACAGGCCTGGGGAGCCGAGGCAGAGCCCTCCTGGAGGAAGGGGCGTCGCCCTTCTGTAGGATCAGCCCCGCCTCTTTCCCACTTGGTCACAGACGCTCACGCACGCTCAGGCCTGAGTCTCAAGGGCCCGAAGGGGAGGCATCCTGCCTGGACTATTTACAAAGTGCAGAGAGCTGTTACAGATAAATGTCTGACAGTGTCTAACGGAGTGACTTCTTTCCATGAAAAGACCAAGCACTCAGCTGTTTTTTCTTGAGCTTACAGGTGCCCCGGTGAGGGAGGCCAGCCCGGCACAGAACACAGAAGCAGTGGGTCTGGAACTAGGGGTTCCTGCTGAGGGGCAGAGACCACAGCCTGCCGCAGGAAAACAGCCCCCCAGCCTCATCACGTTCAAAAGCAGACCGATTCAGGATTCTGGGGACCTACCTGGTACTGCCCCATCAGCCTCCAGAATGATACCTGGGCCTCAGCGCCTGGTGCCGGCCGTACAAAGACACGCACACGCACACACATGTGGGCAGCACACGCAACATGCATGCACACACAAAGCGACATGCGCAGACTCTCCACGTGTCTGCCTTCGGGTGGGTGCAGGTGGTGTCCCCCGCAGGCGCTGCGGTGGAAGGAAGGCGTGTGCTTCCCAGTCCCCCGGTTCCGGCCCCGGCGCAGGACTGGACCCAGCCCACCGGCCCCCAGGCTGCATGTGAGCCCGTGAGCGCCCCCCAGCCCCAGGCAGCACAGGGGTTCTGCAGAAACCAGTTGAAACATGATACCATAATAAAAACCTCATTTAAAGTACTTTTTTTTTATTGATTTCATTGAAAACAGAACAAGAAATGGTCTGAGCCAAAAGACTGCTCTTAAAACTGTCAAAAACATTTTAACAGAAAAAAATAAACATGACTGCATCATGAATGTTTTAGAAGAGCCGCACAAAACCCCACTCTGCTACTGCACTAGTTACAGTATTTAAAAAAGTATATGACCTGGCAGCCGTCACACAAAAGGTGATGGCAAATTTATTCCACGACAAGACTAACATTTTAAAAAAAGTTTCTTCCTGCATTTTATTCTAAAATCACTTTGTTCTCTTTATACAGTTGATAGTTTATTTTCACATGGTGAGTAGAAACCACACCAGAATCAGCACCGTTGTCTGTGTTTTGTGTTTTTTATTTGTCCTAATGTTCAATAATGGTAGAAAATAAATCAGTTTATTCATCATCATAGCATGTGGTTTAAAAATCAACAGAAGGTGCCAGCGTCACTGAGCTGGCAGGGCTGGTGCGGGGTCCTCCGTGGGCCGCGGCCCTCCTGCACCCAACAAACCGCTTCCTTGGAAAGAAATGCATTAGAGGTCTGATATATAGGACTAGATATAGGACTTCTTTAAAAAGCAAACCCACGTTTTCTCCAAAGTTAGGGACGGCTCGGCCCTGACCTCTCCTAGGTCGAGGTGGGGACGGCGTCTGCGCAGCGCCCAGGAACTGGCACCTGCCACGCAGGCCTCGGGCAGGCAGGTCTAACGGAGCAGCTTGCGGGTGACTGTGCCTTCGGTGGGTGCCACGCGGGGGGCCTGGGCCCACAGGACTTCACCAACAAGCCCCACAGTGGAACGGGAACCAGGGGAGCAGAAGGGGAATGAGAAACGTGGAAACGACAAAACCATCATCAGAAACTCACAAGGTCACGCCAGCGCCGAATCCCAGAGTGTTCCAAAGCGCCCGCCCCCAGCCCACGGGCCGCCACGCCGGGGCCTCGCAGCTGCGGCCCACATCCCTGCAGCCCCAGGTCGGGGCCTTCGGGCACCCGCTTCTCCTTCCTCTCCAACCGCAGTGTGAGCAGCACCGACGCTCGGTGCCCCGGCCGGCTGCCACTCATAGGGGGTCGGCGGCGAAGGAGCTGGTGTCAGGCAGGCCGTTCTCCTGGCCCTCCTGGGTGGCGCTGGCCTGCCGATGTGCCAGGGCCATGCTGGAGTGCCGGCATTTGGGGGAGCCACACCGGCAGCTGAACAGCTTGCCCTTGATGTCCCAGAAGCGCTCCCCATAGTCAAACCTAGGGAGAGAGGAGAGCTGAGGGCGGCACCCAGGCCCCACACCGCCTGGGAGCAGGGTGGACCCAGCCTGAGCAGAGCCATCCGTCCCAGCTCAGAGCTGTGGGAACACAGACAACCACTGAGGATAAGCCTGCGTTGAGCAGCACATGTCCGCACCCCAGAAGGTCCCCAAACCCAGCCAGCCCCTGGGGACCGTGGCGCCTACCCCAGCTGCTCCCCAGCCTCAATCAGGCGGGTGCTGAAGAAGGCAATCCTGGGAAACCGCAGGTCCTGGTGTGACATGAACACACGCACAGGCACGAGGTTGGGCTCGCAGTGGTGGTTGATGAAGCGGCTGACGTTCCCGTAGAACCGAGCATCGATGCAGTATACCTCGCCATCCTAGCGGGCGGGAAGGAGAGCAGGGAGCTCGAGCAGGCGTCTGTAGACCTCAGGCAGAAACACGACCCCAGAGCAGGGGCACGACAGGCCTCAGTGCTGCAGGGAGGCTGCCCACTCACACCACTAGTCTGGCTGCACGAGCCAGACACGGGCCATCTGATGCTCGGACGCCACCAGGAGCAGGAGGAAGGGAGCAGGGCTGCAGGGACCACGGGGCGGGGCAGGAAGCCAGCGTGCGGTGGGGGGTAGCTCCTCGGGGACTTGGTGATGGAGGAGCAGCAGATCCCAAGGAGCGGCTGGGAGACATGGAGTGTGCGGGCAGGTGCTACAGAGGGACGGAAGCAGCACTCGGGCCGAGGGCTGCCAGGTGGCTCCTGAGAGGTGGTTACAACCACAGGACAGGAACACCGCCATGTCCTGCTAACCCAGGGGCACAGAGAGGAGCCAGTGCCTAGGGAGTCCCAGGACCCCGCCCCAGCACTGCTCCCGGGATTACGATACGCAACGCTGCAGCAGGGACACTGAGCTGACAGTGGGAAAGGGTGGTTGGCTTGGGGGCCTGACCTCACCACAGGAACCCTTTAAGTAGCAGAGTCTTCTCTGGAAAGACCCAGAGCACTAAGGCCTGAAGTCAGAGGGGCCACATGGTGAGCAATGTGCATGGCCTGGGACAGCCATCGAAGTAGCGGGCATCTGCCCTGGGACGCAAGGAGCCGAGTCCTACAACCCCTCAACAGGCTGCAGGCACTTCTCCCCAGAGCAACCCCTCCTGCCCGCCCCTGGAGGCCTGAGCAGAGAGCCCGCTCACACCATGTCTGCCCCTCACAGTGGACAGCCAGTGAGCAGGGATCTTCTCACACGCCTATGTTTGTGGGAACTTACTACATCAGCCACAGGAACCGAGCACCAAGTCTGGGAGGAAGACCAGATATACAAGGAGGGGAAGGGGGCCTTCCAGGTGTGTGTCCTGTGGAGGGCAAAGCATTTACCAGAAGCCAAAGGATCCTCAGTGGTCAAAGGAAGACAAAATGGTGACAAAAACGGGTGGTCTCTGACAACCTTCCCACAAAACCAAAGGCGTATGTGCCCCTGATCCAGCAATCCTGGCTCCTGGCAGATCCCAAAGACATGCCAAACTCCAAAATGACTCACGTGGCACAGATTTTGGCCTCTGCCTCTAGATGTTATGGACTAAATGTGCAGGTGGCCCCACCCTGCAGGAAGCAGCTCCCCTCCTGTAAACAGCCCGAGAAACTGACCAGCACTGGAGGGCACGCAGCCTGGACGTGCGGGGCCCACAGGGAAGACCCTCGTGCAGAATCAAGAGTGAGTAGCGAGAACCCATGACTGCAGGGCACAATGGGGCTCAGACTGTGTGTGCAAGTCCCTGCCTGAGCCCAAGTCAGGATGGATGCCGGGGATGCCGGGGCGGGCAGGTGGACGCCGCCACCCTGACAGAGGCAGAACCCACGCTCAAGCCCAGCCAGCCGGTCGAACGAAGCACACGACACACTTCGGAGGCAGGCTGGAGCTGCCGACACATCAACGCGGACACAGGCAAAGAACCAAGGAGATGGACACATTCTAAAGAGAAAAGAAAATCAACAGAGTTCAGCCCTGAGGCGACCCAGATGCTGCGCTAACAGACAAAGACACTGCAGCCCCCATCAGGCGGTCCCCGACAACGTAAGACAGAGCACGTCTCTCCGTGAGTGAATATCTCAGAGACATGGAAACAACAAGAAAGAATCAAGTGGAAATCCTCAGTGCAAGCTCCCATCGCACCGCCCCCCGGCTGTCAAACCCAGCATGGGAGGGCTGGGCACAGCCTCAGGGACCTGAGGGAGGGCGAGTGCCCCACAAAGTGGTGCCTCGCGTGCAGAATGGGTCCTGGAGATGCCACCGCAAGTCACAGCAAAGGCTGAGATCAACCTGAACATCCCCAAAACAACGAGAATGATGTGCACATACTCCCAATATGCGACCCCTGAGCCACGGGAGCGCCTCAGAAACGGGGGCGGGCGGTAACCACCTTTTCTGTAAGAAGGGCGAGGAAGTAAGAAACACACATGGACACTTTGTGTTTCTACAAAGGATTACCTGTGGGGTAACACAGAACACGCAAGACTTTCTGAATATGACCTTTTCGGGTAGGGTCTACTTTTGAAGCACGTAAATATTTTACATAACTAAAAAATAAAATCGAAAATTCTAGGATTTATTATTTATTTTAAAGCACTTTCTACCCCCAACATGGGGCCCAAACTCACAACCTCAAGATCAAGACCCTCACGCTCCACCAACTGAGCCAGCTGGGCACCCCTAAAATTCTAGAATTTGAAACGAACTAAGACAAATAAACACACCTAAACTAGGGGCCCACCCACACTGAGAAACGCTGCACCAAGCGCTGCATGGCTGGTGCTCGGCGTCCTGGGTGGGCACATTCTAGGCAAAGACCTGGCACGCACACTCTTGGGGTGCGACGCCCCTCCAAAACTGCAGACACCACTGGGAACCAGCGCCTTTACGGGTGGGATGCAAGCATGAAAGCAAAATTAGTCCAGAGTCAATGACATCCTGAGGGCGGGCAGCACCCGGTGTCCTGACTCGGTATCCAAAAATCTCCTCCACTGCAAGGACCCGGGCAGCTCAGAGAAGTCTGAGGCCGAATGTGGGGAGCCGGACACAGCAAAGCCGAGGGAGGCGAGGCCAGTGCGAACAGGCCCCACTGGGCACCGATGCTGACAACTGGTCAGAACACTCAGTACAAAAAAATCAGGAGCTGTTAACACGTCAGAGAGAAAGGAAAACAAGGCCCAGATCCCTTTACCACCAGTCACTCCTGCTCCAACCCTTCCTCAGTGGCAAGAACGTGTGTTGGTCTTGCCTGTCCCTGAGGGGTCACCGGAAAGCCCAGGTCCGGGTGGGGAAGATTTTTCTTTCCAACAGAAGAATCTGTTACGAAACGTGAAAGGTGAAATGCCCCTCAGGGAGGCCTAGGCATCAGGAGAAGGGCGGGCAGCCGAGGCTCACCTACTCCGGACCTGGGAGAAGCAGACCCTGCAGGTCCTCTGGGATGCCTCCACCCTCACCCCATCTGCAGAAAACACTAGAGACAGAGAAAGGGACGCGGTCCCCAACAGCACACACACGCAGGTTCCTGCAGGACAGCGCCAGGGTCGGATGGCTGCCCTCTGTGAGGAAAAACGGACAGGACACAGCACCAAGGGGATGGGGGCAAACCAGAGGTGCACACTCTGGGGAAACCGAGGTCAGTCTCGCGAGGCACGACAGTGACCCCTGCGGGCGCACGCCGAGCTTCTCAGGAGCAAAACAGCACGTTTGTGACTGACGCCACGTCGTCGGCATGGTAGATGAAACAAAGTGAGATCGGAGGGGTGGTGCGGACGGCTCTCGACCGCACGGGCTGTCGTGACATAAATAAGAAACTGCCCACAGAGGCAAGAAACAGGAATTCCGGAGGAAGTGTCTTCTCCTAACTAACTGAGAGACCACAGGGCAGCCTAAGAGTGAGGAGGCAGGCACCTAGCAAGCATGGGTGTGGGGCAGGCTGGTCAGACTCGGGGCAGGATGCGCGAGGGGCACACGGAGGGGCGGGGCGTCCTCAGGGCGAGAAGCACACGGCAGCAGAGGCCCTCATGCCAGGAGTGGACCCCACCACAGCAGAGGCCACAGCCCACCTGGGACCCCTAACGAAAGCAGCATCACCCAAAGCCTGCAGGACACGCGCAGCCCTCCCTCCATGCCGGGGCATAAGCAGCAGGTTCCACGACCCCGTAGGCAGAGAGCACAAAGCTAAGTCCTCTACCCACCAGTCCCTGGGCCCCACAGCCCCCCACACATCATCTGTGCCTTCCTTAGCCTCTTGCATGGCGTCTCTAAGTAGAACTGTTTTTCTGTGGTTTACCCCGAGTTTTTGCTCATCTGCCCACACTCAGCTTAGAGACTCTGTGGGGGCAAGGGACACAGGTATGCAGAGGAACAGGAGGGTTGCCCATCTTTGGAGCAAGCAGCTCTTCCAGACCTGACAGCCACTCAGCGGGGCCAGCATTCATTCATGTCCACATGAACGCTGTACCTTTCCCACAATGAATGACGTGCCTCGGGTCTGTAGAATGTCTCTTCAGATGTGTATGCTGCTTGCCTTTTTGAAGTTTTTCTGATAAAGAAACTACCTGTCCTCGTTCTAAGACAAAAACACTGTGGGAAGGGTGCCCCTGCAAGACTCCCCCACTCACTCCGAGATGCCAAGAGTGCATGCGCACCCTGTTAACCAGGGCAGATTCAGGCAAAGGAGGCTGGAAGGAGGGTATTCAGAAGGTTCTAGAACAGCAAGGAGAGGTCTGTGTGAGCACAGAGCCAGAGCCCAGGCCAGTCCAGGCCAGAGAGAAGGCAGGCAGCTTGGCAACAGCTGGTCAGATCCCGGAAACATTCTGAAGGTAGAGCCAGAAAGTCTCCCGATGCCTTCGACGGCAGGTGGGGAGGGAGCGAGCAGTGGGCACACGGGCCCCGTGGGCACAGGCACGACCACGCGATGGGGACACAAAGTCTGAGCTGGAGCGAACCCTGGGAAGCTCTGGTGTACTTGTGGCCCTTCATGCGCCAGAATGAACGAGCCACAGAAGCAGGCCGCAGGGAGCGGCATGTGGGGCCCAGCCTGGTGGGGTCGGACTGAGGGCAGACTGGAAGGGCCGGAGTCAGGGGGTGGGCAGCCGCGGGCTGTCGGCATGAGAGAGGGGCCTGCTGAACAGCTTCCCCACGAGGGGCCGGGGTCTGCCAGGGCAGGCTGGCTCCACGCCCAGACACCAGCCAACGGGAGAAGATTCGATGCTGTTCAGACGCCAACACCCCTAAGTGGTTCAAGAGATTGGACATAATCCCAGGCAAATCCCAGCAGCCTCTTTTTGTAGGAACACCCTGGTTCTAAAATGTATATGGAAATGCAGAGTACTCCAGAGAGCTACAAGGACCTTTGAAAAGGAACTACCTGGCTTCAAGATTCCCTCTGAGTCAAGAGGAGTGAAGACACAGTGTACTGGTTTGAGGGTCAGCAAACAAATCAAAGGAACAAAACACAGTCCAGGCACAGGCCTACGTTCGACGGTCCAGGCAGAGGCTTTTCCAGCCAACGTCCAGCCAGCACTGGAATCACTGTATATTCACAGGGACAAAGAGGAGTCTCGAGCCTTATCTCAAACCACACACACAGAAGATGGATTGTGGATCTAAAAGCTAAAAATATGAAAATCCTAGAGAAAGGAGAAAATCTTCACAACCTTGTGGGAGACAAAGAATTCTTAGGACACAAAAAGCACTAAACGATAAAAAAATTTTCTGTTCTACGGAGGACATTGTTAAGAAAATGAACCATCGAGGCACTGGCTGGGAGAAAAAGACACAGGTGTGTCTGAGAAAGGCCGTGAATCAGGAAACCTAAGGAATCCTTACAACTCAGGAAGAAGGTAGTAGCCCAATTAAACAATGGGCAATAAATTTTAAAAATTCCTGCACAAAAGAAGAGATAAGAGACCAACTGGGAGCACGTGAAAAGATGCTCACATCGATAATCATCAAGAAAATGGGGCGCCTGGCTGGCTTAGTCAGAACAGCATGTGACTCTTGATGTCGGGGTTGTGAGTTCGAGCCCCATGTTGGGTGTACAGAATACTTACAAATAAATTCTTTGAAAAAAAAAATCATCAAGAAAGTACACATTAAAATTAGAATGTCTGAAATTCTCATTTGTTGCTGGAGGAAATGTAAAGTGGTATAACCACTTTGGGAAACTGCTTGCTGTTTCTTTTAAAGTTATTAAATATACACTTTAACCCAAGAGCAGTCATCCCACTGCCAGGAATTACCCAGGAGAAACGAAAACTCACACCCACAAAAAACAAGCTCATAGCAGGTTTACTCCTAACAGCAAAACCTGGAAACATCCAGGTCCATCCCCAGGTGGTAGCACAAAGCAGCATGGCCACTGGTGGGTCAGGGGACCCGCCACCACCTGGGTGGATCGAAAAAGCCAGACACAGGGGAGTACATGCCCTGGCCCCACTTAAAGGAAAAACCCAGCCGCGGAGACAGATGGCGGCTCCATGGCCAACGAGGGTGGGGGTGCCGTGGGGCAGAGGAAGTGCTCCAATCTTGCTCCTGGTGCTGATCAGACCGTACACACATTTGTCAAAACTAAAATCACACGCTTAAAGTTCACTGAACGTCAATTAATTATAATAAAATTGACCCAAAAAGTAAGATGATCAAAAACCTATCAGATAAAAAAACCCAACAGAAGATCTACAGGATCGCACGTAGGGTACCACGGAACCTTAGTGGGGGCAACTGAAGATGACAAACAAGCAGAGGGATACACCATGTTCATCACCTGGAAAAGCAGGTGGCAGAAACCCCAGTGACCCCTAGTGGGCTCGTGGGTTCGATGTTGCCCTAAGTTGTACAACTTACACAGAAACTGAAAGATACCAAGAAGAGCGAGACATCCCTCAAGACCCCAAGGTAAGAGGACGTAAGGTTAGGACGGTTAACATGGCGTCAGCAGACAGGACAGAGGGGAGCCCCGGGCACACAAGGACACCTGCGTTATGACAAATCCATGCTGCGGGGCAGTGGGAAAGAGGACGATCTTCTCAACAAATGGTCCTGAGTCACACAGAGTCATCAACGTGGGGAAAAAGCTGGACCCTGCAGCAAAACGCCTACACGTGGAGGCCGAGTGTAACTTCTGCAGACGCCCCACATGTGTCTCTGTATGGTCTTGGCCGTAAAAAGCCTGGCTTCACTTGGGACGTTACCAACACCCACAGTATGGAGGAAGAGGCAGAGAAATTGGACTACAATAAAAATAAGAACTTCCGTTCATTGAAACATCACCAGGAACTCAACAAGCCACAGAGGGAATACATCTGCGAGACTCAAATGTCACAGAAGAGCAGTTACCCCAGAACCTGTAAAGGACAGCCACAGACCAGGAAAGGCAATCAGCTCCGGAGACACGGATGGAGTGAAGACCAGGCAGGCGGTCCAGAGGGGACCCGGGGGCAGGGGCGCAGCAGCACCTGAGCACTGCGACCACCCAGGACACAGCTTTCTCCGCCCCGGAACGTGGCTTTCTGAGAGCCGACTGCAGGGGCAGGTCTGGGGGGTGGGGGGGCACAGCGGGAAGGGCAGCTACTCCGGGCTCTGGCGGCTATGGTTAGACGAGAGCCCTGGGTCCCCACTTCCACCTTGACCGTGCTCCCGGACGTTCTTAACCAGGCAAGTCATGAACTAAGAGCAGCGCGGGCACCAGGGTAGGGTGAGGATGGCGTGAGGCAGCTTCCAAACGTCCCCCGGAAACCCCGGTCCTGGGGTGAGGACCAGGGCCCACCCACTGTCCCCACAACCAGGAGGGCAGCTGGGACACACGAGGCTCCCGTTTGTTCGTCACCGTGCACACACGGCCCCTCTGACGGCCGTGGGCTCTAACCCCGGATGAGCAGCTGGGGTTCAGAGGGCTGGCAGGATGCGTCCGGGCTTCACGTCCTCAAACGAGGCAGGCTCCTCGCGGCACGAGCCCTGGGACCTCCCGGGTAAGTGGCCCGACTGCAAGCGCCCTGCGAGCCCTGAGCACACAAGCGCGCCGGTGGGGCCGGCGAGGACACTGGGCCGTTGTGGGCGAGCCTCCTTACCGCTCCCACGCCGCACGGCCGCAACCAGCTCTCTACGCCCCAACCCCTCCAAACGCGTTACCTTGTTGTCAAGATCAAAGAGGTAAGAGTCTTCTTCCCGAACGTCAGCTTCCGAGTCAGAGATGAGCTCCCCGACATACCTGCGGCGGGAGGCAGGGCGCAGGTGAGAACAGCAGGCGGCAGGACCCTCACCCCTGACCACAGGGCAGCCATGGCAGAGCCCACACACACACACCCCCACCCACAAGCTGGCCAAACGTTCTGCAGAATATGCCTGTGACTGAGCTGGGATTTAACTTCAGGTCCCAGAAGATGACGACACAGAAACCCCTTCTCTGACCAGGGATCCAGAATGACACTCCCTGAAAACCACTGAACGGTACCATCTTAAAGGAGCCACGACCTGGTGAGAGGCTAAGTGCAGGTGGAAAGCCAGGGAAGCGGGCGGATGGGTGGAGACAACATGAACTTGGTTTTCAGGGGCACCCACGAGTCCCAGGCATGGAGAGGGCCCTGGCAGCCCCTCACTCCACACTGCTGTGCTGTCCCCAAAATGGCAGGGGTAGCCAGCAGCCCTGGGGTGACCCCGGCACGCACTCACTTACTCGCAGACGAAGGTGCCCAGGGGGATATCCTGCAGGGACCGCACGCCCCAGCCCATGTTCTGTGTCCGGTAGAGCTGCAGCCTTGCCCTGGAAAACAGGCCAAGTTCCCCGATGCTCAGCTCACGTCCGGATTACGCCGCCAGCCATGACAGCAAACAGAGCGCAAGATGCTGCCTTCCTATCACGAGCGCGCTTCCCGTGCAATGAAGCCCACGGCCCATCCTCAGGGAGCGGGAGATTGCCTTGGAATTTGGTCCGACTGCCCGTGTCTTCATCTGTAACACGGGGACAGGTCTGGCCAAGCCCCCGGGTGGCAATGAAGAGCAGAAGGGGCTGACACTCTGCTGGCCCCTCAGAGAGGTTGGGGAGCTCTCCCCAGCTCAGAGCCATGGGGACCCACCTGCCCCTTTGTGAGTCCAGAGGCCCTGGGGGAGACGGACAGGTCTGTCCTCCCCCCAGAGAATGTCCTGCCAACAGGGAGACAGGGACATGTGGGCTGGTCAGAAGCACTCTCTGACCGCTGATACTGAGAAACCCTTCGATACCGCGAAACTAGACTGATGTTGTGTGTGAATTTCCCCCCACAACTCAGACGGCCAAAAGAGGTCTTCTAATTCTCAAGCACATGCACAAGAGGAAAAGTTCATGGCCAGGGGACGCTGGAGGAAGGGGTGTGAGCCCAGCCAGTGAAAGGGGTGCTGGCCAGACCTCACCGGACCAAGCACCCCAAGTGACTTAAGAACAAGGCGTCTACACGGTCTGAAGCATTTTATACCAGAGCACGTTCATACTGTTATTGCAGAAACACTCAGAGAACACAGATTATTTCAGAAATGGTTTGAGTATTAAAACAGTTGCCGTGCACGTGTTAACTCGAAGGCAGAGGCAATGCTCGTGAAGAGCCCGTGTCCTGGCCTTTGCCTCCCTGAGCCATGGACAGCCCAGCCCCTTGGCCTCACCGACATCCCAGCTGCTCAGAAGCAGGACTTGTGTTATTTACACGAGCTTGTAACACCACCAGGGGACAAGGGGCTCAAACAAGAGAACGTCTCTACTGCAACACACCCCACCCTTGTCCGTATGAAATACATGCAAATACAGCGAACTTCCCCACAAACCCGAGATCATTTGCAAACTTTGAAAGCAGAGACCCCTGGCATCACCCTGCACTGAAGGGCGTAGAACGCTACCCTCAGGCAGGGGCTGGCAGCCCGTGCTCACCTGAGGCCGTTCTGCACGACGCGGTTCCGGCAGCTTCTCCAGCAGGAACAGGCGTGGTTGCACTCGAAGATCAAGGGCGGCTCCGCCATGTTGAACTCCGGCAGCAGCCGGCCGTCCTGGGGACAGACGTGCAGTCAGGACCGAGCATGGCTCACCATTCACGCTAAATAAACTGACACCAACACAGTTTCACTAACTAAAACGGGTATAAAAACGATGGTTTCCGGTCAAACTTCACACTGGGGGCACCAGTGTCCCGTTACCCATTCGTGCTCTGGACAGGAAGCATCGAACCAGGAGCATACACAGGTTTACGGATCCGTACGCCCTGGTCGCCCTCCCTCCTTCTCCCTGGAACTCGCCCAGCCTCGCCAAGGCCACCGGCCCACAGGCCTCTCCACTTCCTTCAAGGGGTCAGTGCCCCCCGGACCACTGCCCACGCTCACCGCCACGCTGCACTCTCGGCCTTGCAGCCTGCAGGCCCACAACTCTGGCAGCGACCCGGCCACCTGCTTGCCCGTCCTACACCCAGACACGGCAAAGCCGCCGGGCGACAAACCAGGGCCTCGCGGCTGAGTCTGAAGTCCCCGTGGCTTCAGAGGCTGCTCTGAACAGTGAGAACTTCCCTCAAAATGCTCGCTCCCCCAGACCTTCAGCATAGCAGTGCTTCACAGAGAGCACACAGCACTAGAGTGAGGGCCGCAGCCTCTGGCTCGACAGCCACAAACACCCCCCGTGCCATGCCCCTCTGCTCCCACGGTGACTCTGGAGACAACCGTCTGCTGTGGTCTTGTCCCTACCCCAGAACACCCTGGCTCCTGCCCCCACTGACAACCTCTGAACTCCCAACACCAAGGGCATTTAAGCTTCTTCTCTTGGACACCGGCTTCCAGAGCCGCCTCCTTGTCTCCCCAGCTGTCCCAGGCTGGGCTCACAGACAGCCACGCCCAGGCGGCCACAGAGGCTGGCTCCGACCGGTCTGCATTTCCACACCCGCTCACCTGCAGCCCTCCTTCCCAAGGCTGGCGGGCACCAAGGCTGGCTCACCGCCCCAGCATGCCCTGGCCGCAGGCTCACCTTGTCGTACCAGCAGCGCATACTGAGCTGGCCACACATGCAGTTGCTGGAAGAACAGTCATCGATGCACACGCAGTACTACAGGGAGACAGCTCGTCAGGTGGGGGGGCCGTTCTCAGCCGCGCCTCACGACTCTGACACGTGCTCTCAGAAAGCCAGGCCCGCGTGGAAGAGAGGTGACCGGTTCAGACGTCTGCATTCTCAAGGACACCAAGGGGCAAGCAGCCCCTGAGGAAGAGGGCATGTGGGCGGGAGAGGACACCCAGCCACTAAGACACAGAGAGATTGCACGAGGGGCTCTGGACCAAGAGCCCAAAGAAAGGGGAGGAGGCAGGGGTGGTCAGCGACGTGGGGCCGAGGGGCAGGGTTGGTGAAAGAAATCCCGAGGCCGGCACTTGAGGCCAGCCGCTCCATGGGAAGGGCAAGGCCCAGGGCCACAGCCCTGCCCTGAGGGCACACGTCCAACTTCAACGCAAGAGCAGCTCAGAGGCTGGGACGCTCAAGGCAAAGCACAGGCTCCTCTCACTTGCGTGGCCCCCAAACCACCACTCACCGGGGGACGCTAGGCACTGCTCTGGGGCTGGGGACCCAGCACGGGATGCAGGATCCACTTTCAGGAAGGATCTTTATCTGCCTTTCAACTCGTTAGTGGAAGGCGATCACCGTGAGGGAAACGCTGTGGACCCAGGCCCCAGAGGCCCACCGCACCCTGCCATCACTGACCTGCAAATGGGTGATGTTTCTGTCAATGTTCATGGGAGACGTCACGCAGTTCTGAGAAACATACTTGTAGTTGCTGGGGCACGGCTCGCTGTCCACAGCGTTGACACACGGGATGGGGATTCGCTCATAGCCTCGAGCAATGTCTCTGCCACGGGAAAGGGGGGACATTACCTTTCGCCGTGACAAATGACACCCCAACGGGGCAGCCGCCAAGCCCTGGGCCAGGCACTCTGGACTCAGGCCAGGGGATGCCTCAGCTTGGACAGAAGCTTTTGTTTCAAACTCTTCAACCCCCTCTGTCACCCTCTGCCTCAGAACGGTCTTCTCACCTGCTCACCGTCTTCTCCATCGGGACAGGCCTGTCAGGGGCTGCGTCTCGCAGCGCCCGGCTCATCTGCAGCGCATCCCACACCTGGGAGTTGAGGCTTGCACACTGCAGGGGTGTCTCTCCCTCCTTGTTTTTCAAGGTGACATCTGAATCCCGAGAAAGAAAGAGGCTAAAAGGAAAAATGTAAGCCAACAAAACATTCAGACCTTAATTTAAAAGACAGATTTATGACTTCAGAAGGCAAAAATAAAGGGAACACATCATTCATTTTGATATTAACCCTGCTGACCAAGTGCTTCGAGAAAGATCTGCCCTGACTCACCAGGAATACACTACATTACTCCTTTCCCACATTTACGGTCCAAAGTCACCTCAGTTTTCTTGTCAGGAAGCGTGTGTAAAGAACTAGGGATGGTATTTGAGGGTTTTTGGCTTTTCCATTCAAAGGCATGCTCAAAGATGAACAGGGCCAGCACGAGGCGGGTAAAGCACGCCGTGTACACGGTCAGCGCCCTGCAGGCGAGTCAGAACCGGACAGAGAGGGGCAGCACAGTGGTCCTGGGAACTGCCCCGCCGCAGCCTCCCACCACAACCCGCCCAGCTGAGCTGCCGCCAAGGTCCCGGTCTGAACGGGCCTGTGTCCCACATTTCCAGGTGAGGGGGGGGACCTGAGGTTGTGCAGCTGGGCAGGACTGGGTCCTGAGCTTCCACTGAGAGCACAGCGAGGACAGCTCCCCAGGACCCCAACTGCACCCACCCACATGTCTGTGACATAGGGACGGGCTCTGAGTGGCAAGTGGTGAGCACTAACATCTTCATCCCTCCGGAGCGGGGCCTGCCCCCTCCCCCTTGATGGGAGGTGCTGGGTGAGACTCATCCAAGTATCTGGGGAGTTTTCACAATGATCCTCCCTGAACCAGAAATAGCCACGCTGACCTCACAGGTGGAATGGGAGACTCACACCTCCACCTGCTCGGGGAAGGAGCTTCCCTTGGGGGACCTGGGGCACCCGGGAGCCTTGCAGGGACTGCGTGCAGTGGGACCACTCACAGGACACAGGCGTAGCGGTCCTCCCTGGCAGCAATGTGCAGAGGCGAGTCTCCGTGGACGTTCACGGCATGGAGGTCACACCTGGCAGCCAGGAGGATCTCGGCTATGTCCACACAGCCCGAGAACGCAGCCCAGTGCAGGCAGATGTTCTCCTCCTGCGCGGACAGACGGCGCAGCGCACCAAAAGGAGAGCAGAGACCTGGCTGAGTGCTGGGGGTGCTTCCTTTCTTGTTTTGTTTTCATTATAAAAGTAATGTAATTTCAGTACTGAATATTTTAAAAATAGAATAAAAAATCGTCTGGAATTAGACCAATCTAAACACAACACATTAGTAACATAACACTCGGGAGTACTCTGCTTTATCTACTTTTTAAAATCATATTCACTTTGGAACAGAAGTACAATTGCAGGACAGGACAAACCGTGTAAAATTTGACAAAGATAAAAGGTAAGCAAACTTGATTGCATTAAAATTTTACTTCATAAAACCTCTGTAAAACAAAACCTTTAAATCAAAGATCAGAAAAAACCATTTGTGCTGTAAATAAGCTATACGTGACTTACAATAATCAGTTTATTAGCTTGCTACACTGTAATTCTGAAAACAAATGCACAAAACGTATAAAACTTAAAACTTGTGTTAAAGATGAGGAATACACATATAAACAGGGCAACGGGCAGCCTTGCCAGGTGGGAAACAGCCTAAATTAGAACGGTGACGGAACAGCCAACCTACCGCACTGGGGACAAACGAGAAGGCCACTCTGACCCCCACGGGCTGACTGCCCTGTGCCCACTGCAGGTGGACCACTGGGCAGGCCAAGCTCACGGTCGTGACCTACTCAGCCCTTCCTCTACCGAACCTCTAGTTTGCTCCTGTCTTCCTCTAGAATACAAGGCAGTGAATGTTTCAGTCCTTTTCTTTTCCTGACTTGGTCTCAGGGCTTAACCCCTCAGAGGCAGCTTGAACACTGACTGCCCTCCTGGCAGAGTGGGTGCACCACTCAGGGGGCCCCACCCCTCACGAACGCCCAGTATCTCACAGGAGCCAAAGTCAAGCCTGGCTGTCCACTCGGCACCACCGCAGGGGCCTTGGCAGGACCGAGGCAGAGCCCCTCACTGTGCATGCCCCCACTCCACCCCACGTCAGCCCCCGTGGGACTGATGTGCCAGCTACATGACTCTGCCTGCCTCGTTCCTGCCCCCCTCCCACCAGGGAACCCCCTGTAACGCTCCAGTGCTCGCAGATAATCTGCCTCCCAGTCCCACACTCTGAGAGCATCCGATGCTTCCAGCTCAATGAACTAGAGGAAAGAGAAAAGTCAAACTGTGTGGTCCTCTCTGTTAGCAAACAGCAGCTAGCCCCAAGCACAGGCTTCACCGCAGACTCCTCTGGCAGCCTTAGTGTTTTCTGAAAAGCCTGGATTTGCCTGGGGCTTCCTTTCCTGGACGTTGTTCCGAGACGCCTTCTACCCCTCTCGTCTTTCCATTGTCCAGACATTTGCAAGCTCCAGAACAAAATGTGGTTTCCTTAGGGGCCTCTTTTGTCATTCCTTCACCAGAAGGATTATGATTTTATAACCGGAATTACAGGCTGAGACTGTCCCCGTCCACCCAGGCTTCTCTTAGCACAGGAACGTGCGCGCAGTCCCAGACCAGCTGAGGTCTGCCTGCTCTATTACGAGAGGCCTGACCCACACATCTGAAGTGACAGACGGCACTTTGGTTCCGGCAGAGACCGGGCCAGAGGGACCATCTGGATTTACCTCCCTGCCTGAAAGAACCAAACAGTCAAAACGTGTGAAATAATGGTTTTCAGGACACTGGACATCAGGCAATGGAGTACTGTAGGCCTGAGAGCAGAAACAAACAAGGGGGCCTGGGCCCACCTGCTCACTGTCCTGAGATCCAGGCCTCGGAGCAGGGAGGGCACCAGGAGAAGCCCCGAGACAGGAACTGAGAGCCGGTGGCCGAGGCAGCAGAATGTGGAGCTGGGAAAGAGGCCGCTGGAGATCTGGACATTCCCACCTTGGACCTCCAGGAGGACACACCCCAAAGCCGAGGCACAGAAGTCTCAGCGCTAGTGCCCACACAAGAGATGACCAGCACTAGGCTGAGGCCTGCTGGAACCCACGTAACAAACCTAGGAAGCAACACCCAAAGCAGACTATTTCCAAGTAACTTTGCTGCACCCAGAACAAGGCTCAAGACCTTTCCAGGAATACAGAAATTCACAGCAAGGTAAAATTCACAATGTCTGGCACGCAACCTAAGGTTACAAACAAAACTTTTAGACCTGACAAGTACAATGTCTAACAGAAACACACTGGATGAGATTAACAGCATAATAGGTTGTAAAGAAAAGATTACTGAGCTTGAAAACAGCAAAATTTCAATAAAACCAGCAAAACAGCTTTAAAACCAGATAAACTGCGATCCACAGTGAAAAAATAATTGAGGAAAATGAAAAGAGCATCAGTGAGCTGGGAACAACTTCAAGCCACGTGATAATTACAGAACAGGGACCCTTGCAAAGCAGGGGGCAGGCAGGAAGAGCTCTGGAACGGATGAGGACCTCGCTGACACAGCTTCATAAACCTTCCTGACCTCAGACTTGCAACACACACAAGTAACAACAAGGCGCATCATAATCAACTGCTAAAATCTAGTGATAAAGAGAAAATCCTAAAAGCAGCCAAAAGAACGCAGATGCACTCTATCTGGAAATAAGCACACGGTGCCAGCGAGAATTCCCCACGGGAAACTCCTCGGTGAGGACGCAGAGAGGCTGTGTGCACAAAGTACTGAAAGAAGCTATCGACCAAAGTCCACACCCAGCAAAACGTCTCCCAAAGTGAAGCCAAGATACAGAGTCTGCAGGCAGGAAAAGCTGCAAGCACTTGTCACGGGCAGACCGGCACCCCAGGACACGATAAACGAAGTCAGACGTGTAGAGGAGAAACGACCCTGGAATGAAGGACCTAGGTAGGAAAGGAAGTGGCTTCAGCAGGCACTGATCCCTGAGACTTTCGTCACTACAGTGTTTCCAAAAGATCACCGACTGTTGAAACGAAGTAACAACCTATTGCGGTGCTGGTACAGTGTCTGAGAGCAACAGCACGAGGTCCGGGAGAAACGGGACAGCCCTCTGTGTATGTAACACAGCATTTTCTCTTAATTGAGAAAGCATGGCACTGGCGTAAGGACAGACACGTGCGGGCCAATGGCACGGAAGACAGAGCCCAGGGACGGAGCCACACGCATGTGGACAAAGGGGCAAAGCCAAGTCTATGGAGAAAGGAGATGGTGCTGGGACAACTGGACATCCTAATGCAAAACAAACTACTGTAAGAAAACACGGAAGAAAGTCTTTGGGATCTTGGGTCAGGCGATGATTTCTTAAAGAGAACACCAAACATATGATCCATAAATAGAAAATAATTGATAAACTAAGCTTTATCAAAATTAAAAGCATCTGCCTCTCAAAAACAGTTGTTAGGGTTTGGAAAACATCTGATATAGAGCACTTGTATGCAGAATACACAGCAACTCTTAAAACTGAAGAATAAAAAATAAATGATCCAATAAAAAATGAGCAGAAGATCTGAAAGGACCGCCGCCCCCCCCCCCGCCCCCCGGGGACACAGACTAACCGTAAGTGCTGGGGAGGACAGCCTCTCAGGCACAGTCACTCTGGAAGCTGGGCAGCTCCTTCAACAGGTGACCCAGGTTTTATGGGACAGAAATGATAGCAGGGGCCCACGCAGACACGTGCGTGCATGTCCACAGCAGCTCTATGTGTGACAGCCAGAACCCAGAAAACCCCCATGTCCGCGACCAGGTGAAGGACACCTGAGCTGACCTGTCCGCACAACGCAACGCTGACCCCCAGGCTGATGTTGCCTGAGCAACGGTCACACTGCGGGTCCGCCTACGGAAAGCCAAACTCACAAACTCGGTGACAGAAAGCGGAGCAGACGGTGGCTGGCTACGAAGCGGCAGGAGGAAACTTCTGGGAGCGTCGTGCACAGTCCTGACTGCAGTGACGGTTTCTGGGGTTAACTCTCATCCAACTGGACACCTTAAATGGTGCACCATTTACACATCAATAAAACTGCTAGGATGAAATAACAGCGCTGCTTTGTCACATGAACAACAAACACGCAGTTTAGTCCATCCTCCTGCTCCCCGAGGACCACCACCAGCAGCGGCGCTGACACCTACTGGACCCTGTGAGGCCGTCTGCTGCCCTGCACCCATACGCTCTTGATACCCTGCCCAGCGAGGACACATAGCTGCAGCTGCTCCCAGCACCCCATGCTTGAAGGGGGCTGCTCACGATGTGCCACAAAGCGTCCACAGGGCAGATTCTGACTGCCCTCTGCTGCAGCCACGCTGGACCTCATCACACCCCTTCCCGCTACCCTCATCCAAACTGCCCTGCGCCTCCCAGCCCCCGGGGCCCTGCAGGCAGCGCCACTGTACTGACCCCAGCTCTGAGGACATTCACGGAAACACCCCACAGCTGAGCCACGTGCTGCAGGCCCAGATGCTGGCCTCTGTGCTGATGTTCCTGGTTTCAGGGCAGGGCAGGACCTGCTCACAGACGTGGGGAAGGGTCCCAATGCCGAGCAGCCACGATGAGTGACCAGGTGGTGCTCACTGCTCCCATCCCTTCTTTAAGCGGGGATCTGGAGAGCCCTGTTCCGCTCAGGGCTCAGAACCAAAAGACACCACCTGGCTCCCTACCTTGGGCACTCGGGCTCCACGCTGACACGCACCCTACTGAATGGTGTGCTTGCTTGGAGAAATCATGTCTTACTGTTAACTGCTTTCTTATTTCATTATCAATTTAATGAGTTTGTGCTACATTTTCCATTTATGGCTTTTGGTGACTCTCTGTAACAGCCGACACAACTCTGCAGGGCACTGTGTCTGTCCGCCCTGGGACTCCTGTCCCTCTGGATTGTTCCCGAGCGGGTACCCAAAGAACTTTCCAGAAATGCCCTTTTAAATTAACTAGAGAGGCGCCTGGGTGGTTCAGTCAGTTAAGCGTCTGCCTTCGGCTCAGGTCATGATCCCAGGGTCCTGAGGTGGAGCCCCGCATCGGGCTCCCTGCTCAGCAGGAAGGCTGCTTCTCCCTCTGTGTCCCCGCTCGCTCGTGATCCCTGTCACTATCTCGGTCTCTCTCTCTCAAATAAATAAATCTTTAAAAAAATATTAAAATATATAAATTAACTAGAATCACCTGCTGTCTGATATACGGGCTGGAGGATTACTCCCAAAAGGACTGGTGAGTTTTCTGACCTTGGCCCCAGAACCCTGTTTTCTGAAAACAAGTATGCCCCATAAAACTAGCCATCAACACAAGCACCTTAGCTCTCATGACCTGAGCACACGGTGGCTCCCTTTCTCTCCTTCCTAGACAGCAGTGCAGTACAAGTTAGTGCTCCCATGCTGCCGGCCCAGGTGTGGGGTGTGCCCTGGGCTCCGTGGTCCTGATCATAGACACGGGAGTCAGTGATGCAGTCACAGTCCGGGTTCGCCTCTAAAAAGGCAGGTACTATCCACAGGGCCGGTCTCAGGAATCTCTGCCCCTCAGTCTACACCCAGCAATTGGCCAACACACAAAACAATCCCAGGGAACCACAGTGGGTCCAGGGGCCACTGAAAACCTGGGAAAAAAGGGCACAGCCACAGTCAGGCTTCCAAGAACAAGAACGTTCAGCTGCCAGCTCTGTACACCCTGGTCCCTCTGTCCTCCTCCAGGACCCGCTACCCTGAGGGGTGCTCAGCACCAGCGACAGCCAGAGACTCACGTTATCCCGGATGTTGATGTCGGAACCCTTGGACAGCAGTAGCTTCACGAGCTCCACATGCTTATACTCAGTGGCCCAAATCATGGGCGTCCAGCCGCCATCATCCTAATTTAAAAAAAAAAACAACACAACACAATACACACACACAAGAAAAAAACAACAACAAAATCCATTACAGCTCTACAGACAAGTAACATGAAGCACAATCTCACCCAGGATCTGTAAGACAACTCCACAAGACAGGAGCCAGTCCAAGTCCCCATTTTGTGCATGAGGAAACCTAGGCTCGGGGTGCAGCCCCAGGGGTCTCAGTGAGTACAGGACGGAGCCAGAACCTCTGCTCTGAGGGGGACGGAGGGATCTGCCAGGAGACCTCGCCCCAGGGCAGCCTGGTGGGCAGTCACCGCCAGGACAACACTCAGCACACCTGAGTGCACCTGCTTGGACCACGTAAGGACCAAGAAATGCTGACCAGACCGTCCCTCCCAGACCAGCAGTCCGGCTGGTGGGTAGCCAGACCCCAAGCATGAAGCAGGGGCAGCTGCTAACAACTGCAGACAGATAGATATCCCAGCCCAGAGACTGATGGAGGCGTGCCCAGTTCCCACTTCTTCCTAAAGGATAGGAAGCAGAAAGCCTGCCCCGGCCGACCCCACATTAGGATCCGTCATGGTTCTGATGAGTTGGCTTTCTACCATCCACAAACCTAGGCCTCTCTCCTTACTCAGTGGTGGTGGGTAGTTTTATTTAAAACAGAAAAAGGCAACTCTTCAGGAAATGAGTATCACATTAACCAACTCATGGTCTGGTGGCAGAAAGCTCAACCCTCCGTAACACCTCCCCAATAGCTTCCTGTACCCGCCCCTCAGCTGCCACATCTCTCTGGGAGACAATGTAGTCAGGCCATCCCTGTAGGCTGGCTGTGCGCACCACCTGGGCCCTGGGGGCACAGCAGGGACAAGCACGCCTCAGGGAGCGGAGCCGAGCCCAGCCCAGCCCAGCCCAGCCCAGGGGAAGAAACATACAAAACCGAACCAAGTGGGAGACGGAAAATGAAACACGGGAGGGGTCCAGCCCATGGACCCTGTGAGAGCAAAAGGTGGGCCAGGCGGCACAAGGCAGGGAGCTGTATTTCTGGGCCACCGGGGAGGGTCTCTGTCAGGGTGGCTTGTAGAGTGCTGGGTTGGAGGCAATGGCTGGACGAAAAGACGGGGCAGAGCCTGTGAGCCAAGACAGCCTTTCCAGGGCCCAGAGTCACGTGGGAGGGGAGGGGTCTGGGTCTCAGCGAGTGGGAGGGAAGCGTGCTCACTTGCTCTCCCGAGTCACTTACTAGATGCACATGGGACCTCCTCGTGCCAGGGCCTACATGCCACACAAAGACCCTGCCCTGGAACCCTGACAGCCACTGGGAGGGAAGATGGGGTACCACAGGAGGGAGGGCACCTGGCACACAGGTCAGGGACCTCACTCAGGTGGTGACATGTGCCCCGAGGCCAGGAGGCTGGGGCAGCCCAGGCAGGCGCCGTGGGAGAAGTCTCCGGCCAGGCAGCAGGGTAGAGGCCGTCACAGGTGTGGGCTTTTAGAGGGGCCAGTGTTCAGCCAGGGTGGGTGAGGCCAGGCCTTCCAAGGCCTTGCAAGGGGGGCTGCGGAGAATGGGCTGGGGCCAGGACTGCTACAAAGGAGAACAGGGTCACTGACCAGCCAGCCAGGTGAGTGTCCGTAAGTGCAGGGTGTGGCTTTACCTGACAGTTGACGTCCATCTGTCCATTTGAAAGCAGATACTGAACTACATCATAGTGACCCTTCTTGGCAGCGAGGTGCAGACAGGTGGAGCCCTCTGCATCCTGCAACACAATTTCCAGAGAAATCACATGACCTACAGTACGACCCTGAGCACATGACCACGTGAACGTTTGCTCCCCACATGAGGGAGGTTCCTTCGAGAAGGAGAAGGAACCCAGGCAGAGAAAGGCAGAGTTATTTTCAGAGGTCCTACAACTGGGGTCCAAGCCCCGTCCGCCGGGCTCCAGACTCCAAGCTCCTGACACCAACGGGGCCTCAGGTGGCAAGGAGTCTTCAAGTTTTAAGACACACCTGCATGTACATCATGTCAACCGCCTATCCCTTCCTTTCTCCCATGGTCCAGACAGGCCGAGGCAGGCCCCGGGCTCCTCAACAGGGCCAGGTGCTGTGCCCTGTCCCTCCGTTCCAACGTGGCGCCCAGGACTATGCCAGGCGCCTGCAGCACTCCTCACGTGACAAGAGGGCCACCCATACCCATCGGGACCTCTACAAGACAATGGTGGCCGTTGGACATTTTTAGACGAGTGCTAATAATTCCGTAATCGTTATCCATATGCCACAGAATTAAAAACAATAAATGGCAGAGAAGAGCAGGGGCCCAGAGTGGGGGCATGCTTGCCCTGCAGTCCGACGCACGTCAGGGCGGCTGCCTGCCTGAGTTTGCCTCCTGGGGCTGCAGGCGCATCTCCCCGTTAGCTTTCAGCTCTACTTCCTCAAGCAAGCTAAATCTATCCCACTGACTGAAGGACCTCAAAACAAAACAAAAGCCACCCTCCACTGTGGAAGTCAGACCCAGAAAGCTCCAGGAGAGACTTGGGGGTCCTGGGAGGGCTAGGGGACCATGTGTGCCCCAGTTCACAGGGCCAGGCTCAGGGCCAACCTGAGAGCCTGCATCCTGCACAGATGGACTCTTCCTGGGCATGCGCCTCAGAGACCTGTGCGGACACACTTCCACCATTTTCTCCTTACAGGGTCTCTCTTTGCCTTCCCCCCTGCTCCTGTCTGTACTGACCATGTTTCCTCAGTCCCTCTTTCTCCCTCCTTCTGACCTTCTAAGCAGTAATCCGAGACTTTCACACACACACCGTTAAAACAGATTTCTTACCAAGCCTGAAGTTAGTAACCCGCTTTTCTCAAGAAAACCCACACACTCAAACCCCATATTACTGGTGTTTAAATTTTTAATTGTATGATAAATACAAAAATGTATGATTGTTGGTGTAAAGGCTGGCCTTATTTTCAAGTTTCTCAGTTGAATGACTTTGCACTGAGTATCGCAAAACCTCCCCCTGTTCACACATCCCAGAGCTGAACAGGGGCATCTCCTCTTGGGGGTGGGGGCCCGCCACCCAGCGGCAGCGACGCGGGCCGTGCTATGGCTCCTCTGAGCAGTCCAACCTTTGAGCGCCACCAAATCCAACGGCTACACAATGGTGTCTCAGGGTGGTTTTCAAAAGGCTGAGCACCTTCCCTGTGTTTGCTGGTTCCTCAGACTTCCCCTTCCGGGGACTGCCCGTTCATTCTTTGCCCATTTTTCTTTTGAGCTCTTTTGTTTGTAGGACTTCCTTATTTTTTGGATATTAATCCTTTGCCAGTATATTGCAACATCTTCTGGCAGCGTGTAGCCTACCTTTTGTGAACTTTGTGACATTTTGTTGACCAGAATTTCTTAATTCCAATGAACTCGACTTTACCAATCACTTTTGCACTTTTCTGTGTTTTCCTGAAGAAATCTCTCCCTATGCTGGAATCACAAAGATAATCTTCCCTCTTCTAAAAGTTTACTATTGCACGACACGTGTTCTCCATCCTTTCTGCTTCCATCTGTTTGTCCATTCAACGTGAGCCCCTGCGGAAGCACACAACTGTCTGTGGTGTGCTCAGTCCTCACAGGTGCTGTCCCTATGGACGGGGGGTGGGGGGTGGGGGCTGGGGCTCCTCGTTCCCTCGGCTTCTATCCTCTTTTCCTGCCTGTGGTTCTACAAATACTGCTTACTGCTCCACTTCACTTCCTCCACTAGACTTAAACTGTCCTTAAAGCTGTATTTCTTTTAAACTATTTTCTTTGTACTTCCTCTGGGGGCAATGACATTCCCCTAATCAGTCTACTTGGATTGATGTTTACTGCCTCCCACAACAGAAATAAGACAGCCTGACAACAGTAGGATTTCATTCATGGCTCCTGCCCCATGCTCTTGGGGACACGTTTTACTTCTAAATTGGTATGAACTCCACCCTGTAAAAATATTTCGGCTTTAAACAGCCTTTTGTCTTTTAGGAAATTTAAAGAAAACAATGGTCTTTCCCAGGTGCTATTCCTGGGCAGACTCTCAGGCAGAGTTTCCATCCCTGTTCGGGCAAATATATCAATAAACCCTACCACCTTTTGTTCACTTGAAAGTGTTTTATTCCATAATTATTTGGCGGGGGTGGGGACACTTTTACCGGATGCAGCCTTCTGGGTTGACAATTTTTTTGAGTTTTCTTTCCCCATCGTTTCAGATGAGAAGTTGGTGATTTTTTTGTAATGCTGTTTGCCTACATGTCATGTGTCATTCTTTGGCTGCTTCTAAGATTTTCTTTGTTTTCAGTTTTCAACAGTGTGTATTCTTTGTATTTATCTAGTTTGGGGTTGGCTTAGTTTCTTGGATCTACAGATTGTTATCTTACCAAATCTGGGAAGCTTAGGACCACTTTTTTTTCCCCATATTTATTTTCTATCAGATTCTTTCTCCCCTGTTTCTGGGAACTCCAATTACACATCAGTTGGAAACTGTCCTAAAAGCTGTTTTTCAGACTGAGTAATTTCAATGAGCGGTCTTCAGTTGCAGTGACCATTTTCTTCTACTGCACCCTATCTACAGCTAAGCTCATCCATGAGCCGTCCGTCCGCTTCGACGTCTGCTCCCCTCAAACCACTGGAAGTGCTCCGGTCCTTTGTCTGCAGGTTCCAGGTGCTTCCGTGAAGCCCTGCACACTAACCTCTTGCCTCTGCAGTGGTGCTCAGCTTGGGCATGGGCTCCTGTAGCGAGACTGGGTATCCGTGCCTTGGCAGAGAATGGGGTAAATGCGTGGGACTCATCCACCCGTCATAATGAAGAAGATTAATAATAGTTATCTATGGACATTTATAAAACAATTAAAGGTTTCCAGATTATAATAAACACCAAAAATAAAGCAAAACACTAAAGCTTGAAAAAATATTCATACCACATATAAATAACTATATACCAAAAAGCGTTCACTTTAAGACAAGCTAAATAAAATAGTAAAAAAGCAAATAAATAAATAACCATTTTTGCATATCAAACTGTTAATATTTTTTAAAAGGTTGATTTTTTTTAAAGATTTTATTTATTTGACATGGGGGGGCGCGGTACAAGCAGGGGGAGTGGGAGAGGGAGAAGCAGACTCCCCGCTGAGCAGAGAGCCCAACATGGGACTCAATCCCAGGACCCCGGGATCATGACCTGAGCCGAAGGCAGATGCTTCACCGACTGAGCCACCCAGGCGCTCCCGTTAATATTTCTTTAAAAACTTATCATAGTCGCCACTGGTAAGAGCAGATGGAAGTGAGTGCTCAGACACTCTTGGTGTACTTCAGGAAGAGATATAAAAACCCTCAATATTTCAATCTAACAATTCCACACCCAGAAATATGTCCTAAAGAAATCAAATGTGCATAAACTTAGCTAAAAAAATGTTAACTGGAGCAGTGTGTATAATGATAACTGAAAACAGGGGTGCCAGAGTGGCTCAGTCAGTTAAGCGTCCAACTCTCGGTTTCGGCTCAGGTCACATCTCAGGGTCGTGGGATCAAGCCCCACGCTGGGTTCTGCATTCAGCAGGGAGTCTGCTTGAAAGATTCTCTCCCTCTGCCCCTCCCCCTGCCCACATGCTCACACTCTCCCTCTGAAAATAAATAAATAAATCTTTAAAAAATTGAAAACAAAAATATTAAGCAATAAGCAAATTTGACTAAAAGTGATACCACTGCATCATGAAATACAATGCAGCCACCTCAAATAATGTTATAAAACAATGTTTAATAGAAAAACAGTGATAATTTGATGAAAAAAAGGAAGTTGATAAATGACTATCAACAGTGTAAGTTTTTGGGAAGATGTGTATTAATGTGAAAAACTACAAGATAATTTTCATATTTTTACTGTAATTTATATATACATACGTATATAACGTAAGATTTGCCATTGTGGCCATTTTCAAGGGTACAATTTGGTGGCAGTGATCCCATTCACACTGCCGTGGGGCCCTCACCACCAACCCTAACCGGAAGCACGGTGCCCACTAAGCAGGGATGCCCACCGCGCCCCAGCCCCCATAACCTTTATTTAACCCACTTGCAGCCTCTCAATCTGACGACTCGGAGTCCTCACACGAGTGGACCCTACAGGACGCGTCCTTCTGGGACAGGCTTGTCTCACTCAGCACCTCCCTGTGCTGGGTCTTCCTTCTCGTTTAAGGCTGAGTGATGCCCCGTAATGCGCACAGGCCATTTTTTGCTAATCTGTCCTTCTGTGGGTGGACACCTGGGCTGTTTCCACCTTCCTGCTTTGTGGACAAGGCTGCTGAGAACATGGGAGTGTAAATACCCATTCATGCCCCTACCTTCAGTTTCTTTGGGTAAATACCCAGGATTGGAATTGCTGGATCACATGGTAGTTCTAGGTTTAATTTTTTGAGGAACCACAGAACTGTTTTCCACAGAAGCTGCATCATTTCACATTCCCACCAGCAATGCATGAGGGTTCCAATTTCTCTACATCCTTGTTAGCACTTACTTTCCATTTTGAGGTAACTGTTGCCCCAAGGGTAGGTGACATCTCACTGGGGTTTTGATTTGCATTTCCCTGATGACTGGTGATACTGAGCATCTTTTCATGTGCTAATTGGCCATTTATAGATCTTCTCTGGAGAAATGTCTATTCAAAGTCTTTGCCCACTTTTGAATTGGGTTGGATTTGTGTTACTGAGTAGTAGGAGTTCTTTATATATTCTGGATAGGAATCCCCCATCAGGATTTATGACTATTTCTGCCATTCCGTGGGTTGTCTCTTCACACTCTTAGTGTCCTCTGACACATTAAAGTTTTTATTTTTGATTAAGTTTACCTATTTTATTATCTGTGCTATTGGTGTTATATCCAAGACATCATTGTCAGACCCAGTGAATGTCATGAAGATCTTACTCTATCTTTTCTTCTAACAGATTTATGTTTTTATCTGTTACGTTTAGGTCTTTGATCCATTTTGAGTAAATATCTAAATACGGTGTGAAGTAAGGGC